TCGAGAAGGCGTCATCAAGACCCATCAAGAAATCAAACAGCTGCTCGCTGTTCTTCGTGGCGCGATACTTGCGCTTCACGTCACAGTTACACCCTCCGCAGCTGCAATCGGGGGTAGGCGAGATGGATTGAATTTCATCCCAATAACCCCCGGAGCTTAGTATAGAAACTCGACACACTGGCCTTCTCCTGCTGCAAAAGAGCTATCATACGACGCAGCTCGTAAAGACGAGAGGCGCTTCCTTGCCCGAACCGGGCTTCTAGATCAAGCCAGATTTCACGGGCAGTGTTGGCAAAACGAACACTAGAGCGAATTTCCTTGCTCATGGCCGTCTTCAACCACCCTTTAACCATAGCATCACAGATTTTCCATTGCTCACGAAGACCTCCTTCAGTTGGCTGGGGAATAGACCCATCAACAAAGCCAATTTTATTCTTGGCGATAAAAGAATCAGTAATATCACCAACCCACTCACAGTAATTAGAGTCGGTGAGTAACTCCCCAACAAAGAGTTGGTTGGGGCTGTCGGAGTTGTTGAGAAGAAGCGCCGGAGGGAGATCTTTGCCGCTGCCCGTCCGTGGCCGAGGATTAATCATCATCGGAGCTCATGATTGCAAAAACAATGCCGCGAGGATCAACTCACAGCTCTGATACCATGAGAAAACTGAAAAGATGATTGCACCGGACACAACGATTTACGTGGTATCCTTGCTCGGTATGAGCAAGACTAATCCACGGAGCACCCACTCAAGGGGTTCTCGGCTATTCTGTTATTAGGGTTCATATGATACCCAAAACCAAAAACTACAGCCGCACAGAGACAGCAAACATATTTATACTAATCCCTTTACATTGAGCCGCTAGGGATTAAGCACAAACTACTAATTAGTCATTTAAACAAGTAAAACTGACAAATAGGTACGTACACAACTCATGCAACAAGTACGTACTCTATAACAATGGAGATTCTTCTTGTTAGCAAGCACTTTGCAATTACCTTTGTCAATGATGGTTTGAATTCCGATTTTGTTATCTACTCGTACAAGAAAAATTACCTGATTGTCAAAGAGAGGTGTCATTTCCATTGCCAAGAGAACTAGGTTGTCACTTATCAAGAAGAAAGAGACATGGGCACCCTAAACAATTTGTACAACCCACTTTGCAATGGAGTTGAAAACTATTGTAATCTAGCCTAAGACTATAATTATTTTTTAAGAACAATTTGCGCTTGCCCTATGCCCCTACTAAAGTATGAAATTAAAAGACGTAAAGCTGATATGAATTAACTAACCGCCATGCTAACTCACTCACGAGTTCTTCTGGAGCATCAGGGAGAACCTAGAGAGAAGTCAAGTGAGCACGATTTGATATTAGAGCACGTGTTTTCTGGAACTGGGAAAGGTTCCAAGCGTACCTCATCAACTAGAGGCATTTTAGTGTGATTTATAGTATTGGTGCTATAAAACATTTACAGCCATTAGATTATGTTCAAACTATATCAACCATAGATTTTATTTAAATTATTAATATGTTATTTTATTTGTGTGTGGACAACCGGTACAACCGGTTGTCTGAAATTTTTTTACGAATTCACCACGCAACCTTCTTCTCACCTCTTCTCACCGCCGAAACCACTCTTCCTTCGATCCTCTCCACGCAGCTAGCGAGCCAGATTCTGACGACGACAGTGAAGACGGCGAGCAGTGGGTGACGACGAGTAGAAGAAGCTTGTCGATTGCAGCATCTCTTTGACTGCGGCGAGCCGGATTCCGACGACGACAGTGAAGGCGGCGAGCAGGGGACGACGAGAGCAAGCATCTCTTCATCGATTGCAAACGAAGACCCTCTTCCCATCGATAGCAAACGAAGACCCTGCACAGAACCCCCTCTTCCCATCGATAGCAAACGAAGACCGCTTACCTACCTCCTCCACCGCAACTTTTTCCGGTTAGTATGCCTACAGTTCTACAATTTTATTCAATTTTCCGGTTAGTATGGCTATCATTTTAGGGATTATATTGGGATGTTCTAGATTTACAAATTTCGGTAGGGGGATTGAAATTCCATGGTCGTTTTACCAGATTGAACTATGGATTGGTTGTTTAGGAACTTGACGAGCTGAAGAAGAATCAGTTTAGTTGTCTGTTGTAGGCGAAGAATCAGTTTAGTCATCTGGATTAAGTTGTATAGCATACTAAAGACGATGAGATAGGAGTGGGTATTTGGCCAAACTTAAGTGGCTATTAATGAAAGACAAGACAGAGCAAGAGGCTGTTGCTACTGTCAAACGAGTTGATATGAACTTGACTTTCTTGCTGTTGTCATTGATCATGCGAATGAGTCTATGCATGTAGCCGATGATGGAGAAAATAATATATTGCTTATCAATATGCTCAGATTTAGGTTTATGAGTTTAATTGGTCATGTCCTTTTACCATGTTGATGTCCTTGTAGTATCTTCTTTGTGTTTAGCTTGATAATTATCTCATGTTTTTATATGAATCACTCAGGGATATCGATCATTATGTTTTCTCATTATGATTGATTGGATGTGTTGGAATTGTGTTGATTGTTCAATCAGCCACCAACAAGTTGTTATGAATTTACTCTATTGTCACTCAGTTTCTGTGATGTTAGCCCAGTGTAGGATAGATGGCTGAGTGGTTCAAAGTGAAGCATTAAGATCTGTTTCATTTGTTTTTACTCAACAGCTGATATGAGATATCTGGTAGCTGATGGTTTAGCATTATGGTAGCTAAATTTGCTGATAGGGCTATAGATGGAGAGAGGTCTTTGTCAAAGCAACGTGGTGTAATGTGGTTGTTGGTTGCTCCTCCATTAACCATACAGCTATAGATTTCCTGCTACTAAAGTTCATTGTGAGTCGATTTACACATTGAAGCTTGAAGGGAGAGTTGTGCATGGTTGTGGTTGCCTTGCTGGGTAGTGAACAATCATCATTAGAAATACTTGGTTGAATTTTGCATCTGATGGTTTGCGATTGTGATGCAGAGTTGTTTTCTCGTCTTTAACTTCCTTGTCTTGGTATCAGTCATTGTTACTTCCTTTCTTTGGATCGAATTTCTACCACTGGAACTGCTGATCTCCTGGACTTGTATGGTTGGATCGGATTTGTGGATAGACGGTAGCTGGTCTGCTTGCTTCTTTAGTTCTTTGGTCTTGATTGGGTTTTAGGGATGTAAGGAATGGGTTTGTAGAGTTTACTTAATAGTCAATTTTTATCTCCCACATCCCACTAGAGTTCGAGTTATTTTCAGGGTTTTTGCTATTTATAGAGTTAATTCATAGTCAATTTTGCTTCTTTAAGTTTCTCATATTAGGCCTCAAGGCCGGGAATGAGTTTTATACATCCCTAGACAGATACTGTTTCGAGTTTATCAGGGGAACTAACCTCAGCAAACGACTCAGTGGTCTTAGAGCTATCAATTTCGCTGATCTTCCGTGACATTTTTTTTGTTTTGCTTATCTTCTGTTTTTGAGGTGTTGGAGTGCTTGTTGTCATTCATTTCTCTCAATCAGGCTCCAAGCCAAGTAACTGGTCACTAGTTGCCAAACTAAGTCAACAATGCCGAGTATCTGCTCTGCTAGTTCATCTCTACCTTGCCACTTGGTTATGTTTTTTCCCAGCTTAGAAACCAGCAATAAACTTAAACAGCAACTGGTTTTTGTTTATGTCTGTAGATCAATTATCAAACTAGGCCGATCACGATTCGAACACACGCTGGGACCGACTTCCTGAGTGTCCTGTAGCATCCTGGATATGGTGGTTCTGGTTTCAGCATAGCCTTCTGAAAATAACATTTTCTTTGTTGTGTTTGCTTTTGCATCTGATTCATTATATATGGCAGATGGCAAAGGAGACACATGATGAATCTCATTTTGTTTGCATTTATAAAACAATGAATGGATGAATGAGATGAGAAAATGTTGTGAATGATTTGGATCTAAACAACCATGTCAGAAATCTCTGTACAAATCATCTCTTCCAAACTTCATACAACTCCCCCACATCAAGAAAACCAGAAAAATGGCAGCCTGCTTCTTTCCATGCTTGCTCCAACAGTTTGCCTGCTAGATCACACCCTCTAGTTTCGGAGATCGATGACCTTGATAACAAGTTTGAGACTGCAAAGAGAAAACCTTTTCTTCTGTGAATAGATGATTAAACCTTTTCTTCTGTTTTGCTTATCTCATGAAAAGATGTTACGACTGTGAAATTTCCAGAATTAGCCGTGAGAATGTTTAGTGAAATCTGGGTGTTTTGATTTTCATGGCTTATTTTAACGGCCGTGATTTATGAAGCCAAAGCCGTGAGATTGTCTGGAAATATGAAAACTACTCTTTGCTTGTCACGGGTCATGTCACGGCCGTGAGAATTTGCATTTTGGGTGAAATTTAATGAAAGCCGGGTGTTTTGGGTGAAATTTATATATGGCAATGGCTGATTTCATGGTTAATTAGTGTACTCAGGTGTTGATGTAGGGGGTTTTCAGTTCTTCTGGTAGTTAGAACTTGTATTTTGTTTGTACTCTTCGGCATGCTTATAATTCGTGTTTCAAGGCATGCTTATAATTTTTTTGTTGTTTTAATTTTGCAGTTTGCTAAAATTGTTCTATAATGAAGACGAAGAGGCATGAAATTTTTAGCACGCGATGTTCTCCTAGGAAAGTATTCTCACTAGTCTCGAATTTAGAGGCTTGTCAATCAGAGGCCATTAAGAGATGTGGCTTTGGTCGTATTCTTGAAGTCAAAGGAAGAATGCTACAACGTGAGTTGTTGGAGAAACTTTTGAAGAGCTTTAATCTGGAAGAAAGCACAATTAAGGCGTATGGGTTGGAAGTGCATATTTCGGCCAAAGATTTCGAGCGAATTATGGGCGTGCCTGAGGGAGGTACTGATATCATCTTGAATGGTGAAGAAGTGGGAGGAAGATCCGAGGAACTGGAACCATTTAGAGTGTTTTCGACACCTGATTGTGGCCGACAGGCGATTTCAACAAGCTTAATGCAGAAGGCGTTGTCGAAGATGAAAGATAGCGGCGATCTATTTCTTCAAACGTTTATTTTGTACGTAATGGGGGTGCTATTAGTACCAACGAGAAGAGATGACATTTCCTTGTCTTCGGTATACGCTGTCACCGATGTTGCAGACATTCCGAAGAAGAATTGGGCATCATTTTGCTTCAATGAATTGGTCAAATGCATCTGCGACCATAATGCTTGTGGGAGAAAGTATATACCAGGTTGCTTGCTGTTTTTGGAGGTAAATAATTGCTAATCCCTACTTTCTACATATTTGTAATGATTAATCATCATGTTGATTATAATATTTTTTTTGTAGTTAATATTCTTGGAGCATGCAAATGGTATTTTCCAAACCATTGATGGGAGTTTGGACTTGATGAGTTGGGGGAGCGGAGACGTGGAGTTATTGTTAACAAAAGTGGTAAGACTGATAGTATATTTGATTTTTTTGACAAGTTGGAGCATGCTAATGGTACATTTGGTTCCCTTTTTAATTAATTTATAGGTTTCCAGTAGTTCGGGCAAAAGATCATCTGAGGATGCCGGTTTGAAATCACCTCCAAGGAAACGGGAAAAAAGAGACGGGAAACGACACAAACCCGACGGGGATGAGCTGCTTCTCTGTGAGCGTATTGATGCTCGGTTTAGTACCATGGAGGGTAGAATTGACAACTTTGGTCAAGAATTTAGAGTCGCAATGGCTGATGCTGCTTCTAGAGATAATGAGCTAATGAGCCGGGTTGTGAAAATGGAGAACGAATTTCGGGCTTTTAGAGACGAAATTGGTACTGCAGTGAAGTCCATTATAGAGGCAGTGAAAGCAACTGTAGGTGATCCGTTGTCAAGGGAGCAACCTACTGAGTTGAAAAAGAACGATCAGAAGGATGCGGCTGTTTTGTTGTCAACGGAGCAGCTTATCAGAGGGGAAAAGGGCAATCAGAAGGGTGAGGTTGAAAAACCAAGTGAACCCATTTCTCCTACCCCCGAATGTTTCAAGACTGAGGGGGAAATTGGAGATGACAGATGTTCTGAATCTCCTTCTGTGAAAGTTGTGAAAAGTCTCCTTGCAAGCAGCCTAAAGCGTCTAAGTTGAGAAATTCATATTATTGAGTGATGAAAGTGTTGCTGCTAATGATGGTTGTTCCAAAACTGTGAAGGTATTACACTTGATTAAGTTTTATAATTATTTGTTCTTATGGTGTGGTTACTAATGAACTAGTTTTGTTTTTATGTTTTTGAACAAGAAAGGGGCGAAAGGGAGGCGGACTACGTAGTGCATCTAAATTGAAGCCTAATTTGTATGTGGTCTCTCCATTCGAACGGGCAAATCCCAGAGCTAAGAAAGGACAACCTTTGTACCGTGCTCCTCCCTTTGTTGTTCAGACACCATTGACTCTGGAAGCAGTAAAGATTATTCAATTTGCTTTTAGTAGTAAGCTTCCCGGAAGGTACCTCCCGAAATCATTACAAGTAAGATTGGATCATATTTGTAGGATGTTTTTGGTATTTGCCTTATTATAATGTTGTGGTGTTTGAACTTGGTCTTGTATAACAGTGACATATTGGTAGTCTTGATGGCGGGGTTCTTTCCTTGTTACGTGAAGATTTGGTCGAGCTTTTGCCCAGGACCAGAATTTCAACAAGGGTGAGTTCCTTTATGTGTGTAATTTAGTAGATTGAACGTGTATTGCTGACTTTGGTATATGTGATGATGATGCATTAGATTATAGAAATGGCGTGTCTGTGCAAGACACTAGAAGAACGAAGTTGTGGTCGCAGTGGTGGCTTGTCTTGGTTCTTTCCACCTTCAGTTTCGGTACAATTGTCTGCTTTGTCTATTCTTGTCATGAAATTAATCTATTTTTTGTTACATGTAGCTTGTGTGGGTGATTGTGTTTTATTTTTCTAGGATCGTGTGAATCATTGCAACGAGGAGCAATTTATGGCTAAGATGCGTTCATATAAGATACTTGAGCGATACCGTATAAGTGAGCTACTTTACTGCAGTAAGGTATGTTGTAATGTTGTTTTCTAAAAGGAAATGGCTTCACCCTCCTATGTTAAATTGATAATTATTGTTTGTTTGTCCATTATTTCAGATTCATGTCCCAATTTTCAACCTCACGTTGAACCACTTCTATCTGGCGGTCTTTAACATGGAAGCCAAAGAAATTGAAATCTGGGACTCAATACCAGGAACTCATAATGAAGAATATGATGCAAGGATGCAGAAACTGGTTTGCTTCTTGTTCTTCAAGTTTTCAAACTTGACTTATTGCTTAGTTGTTAGTTGTTTTTCATTTGCCGACTTTGTCGTTATATATTGATGAGGGGCATGTTTTCATTTGCAGAAATTGGGTCTAGACTGGTTGCTTAAGGATGATATCTGTGGGGCGTTTTCATTTGTGGACTTCGTGGTTAGATATCGAAAGGATGTTGCTTGCCAACCAAATGGGTACCCTTTGTTGTTGTTCAATCGTCCACTGTTCTAATTAAGTTCGATAATTATTTGTTCGCATCATGACCATGGTAATTATTTGTTATATTACAGATTTGATTGTGGACTATTTGTCGCCAATTACTTGCTGGATCCAGATCGATATTCGAAGAAGCTTGACCAGTTCGACAGTGACTATGAGCGGGCACAACTTACAATGTACTTGCTCACTACGCATTTGAATGAGGTGAAAGCTACGGTTAAGACACAATCAGATGAATATTTTGAGAGTCATGCGAGACCTGCCCAAATTGAGACTGAGAAGGTGAATTTCAAGACGAACTTACTCAATCGAGGAAGAAAGCCGTTGCATGCACATGGGGAGAAAAAGGGTAGAAAGTCTAAGAAGCATTGAGACTTGTGATGTTAATGTAGAGTTTAGTTAATGTGGATGTTGATTGAAGTTTAGGATAATGTAGATGTTGAATGAATTTTAGTGAATGTAGATGTTGAATGAAGTTTAGGGAACTGTTGAAATTACAATGAAGTTATGAATGAAGCATTATTCAGTGATGTTATTTTTTTCTCTATATTATGTTTAATGTGTCGACAAGGAAGAAGTTATGCATGATCATATACCGAAAAATGGTTGAAAATGGACCTTATTCACCCTGCCAGAGGCTGTTTCACGGCCTTAATAATCCATTCTCACGGCCGTGAGACTGGGCCGTGAGACTGGGCCTTGAGAATCAAAAAATCATTCCCTATGTTCAGAGAACCTCACGGTCTTGAAAGGACCATCTCACGGCCGTATGGTTGAATGAGCGTTTGATTATCGGTTTTGGGTTGAACCCCATGTAATTGTGAACCGATGTGAGATTGGTTGATGATATATGGTTTAGTGAGCGTTTGATTACGGTTTTTGGGTTGAAACCCATGTAATTGTGAACCGATGTGAGATTGAGGTTATGTATATGGTTGAATGAGCGTTTGATTATCGGTTTTTTGGGTTGAACCCCATGTAATTGTGAACCGATGTGAGATTGGTTGATGATATATGGTTTAGTGAGTGTTTGATTACGGTTTTTGGGTTGAACCCCATGTAATTGTGAACCGATGTGAGATTGGTTGATGATATATGGTTTAGTGAGCGTTTGATTACTGTTTTTGGGTTGAACCCCATGTAATTGTAAACCGATGTGAGATTGACGTTATGTATATGGTTGAATGAGCGTTGGATTATCAGTTTTGGGTTCAACCCATGTAATTGTGAACCGATGTGAGATTGGTTGATGATATATGGTTTAGTGAGCGTTTGATTACGGTTTTTGGGTTGAACCCCATGTACTTGTGAACCGATGTGAGATTGAGGTTATGTATATGGTTAAATGAGCGTTTGATTATCGATTTTGGGTTCAACCCCATGTAATTGTGAACCGATGTGAGATTGGTTGATGATATATGGTTGAATGAGCGTTTGATTATTGGTTTTTGGTTGAACCCCATGTAATTGTGAACCGATGTGAGATTGAGGTTATGTATATGGTTGAATGAGCGTTTGATTATCGGTTTTGGGTTGAACCCCATGTAATTGTGAACCGATGTGAGATTGAGGTTATGTATATGGTTGAATGAGCGTTTGATTATCGGTTTTGGGTTGAACCCGATGTAATTGTGAACCGATGTGAGATTGAGGTTATGTATATGGTTGAATGAGCGTTGGATTATCGGTTTTGGGTTCAACCCATGTAATTGTGAACCGATGTGAGATTGGTTGATGATATATGGTTTAGTGAGCGTTTGATTACTGTTTTTGGGTTGAACCCCATGTAATTGTGAACCGATGTGAGATTGAGGTTATGTATATGGTTGAATGAGCGTTTGATTATCAGTTTTTTGGGTTGAACCCCATGTACTTGTGAACCGATGTGAGATTGGTTGATGATATATTTTTTAGTGAGTGTTTGATTACGGTTTTTGGGTTGAACCCCATGTAATTGTGAACCGATGAGATATTGGTTGATGATATATGGTTTAGTGAGCGTTTGATTACGGTTTTTGGGTTGAACCCCATGTAATTGTAAACCGATGTGAGATTGACGTTATGTATATGGTTGAATGAGCGTTGGATTATCGGTTTTGGGTTCACCCATGTAATTGTGAACCGATGTGAGATTGGTTGATGATATATGGTTTAGTGAGCGTTTGATTACGGTTTTTGGGTTGAACCCCATGTACTTGTGAACCGATGTGAGATTGAGGTTATGTATATGGTTGAATGAGCGTTTGATTATCGGTTTTGGGTTCAACCCCATGTAATTGTGAACCGATGTGAGATTGAGGTTTTGTATATGGTGGAATGAGCGTTTGATTATCGGTTTTGGGTTGAACCCCATGTAATTGTGAACCGATGTGAGATTGAGGTTATGTATATGGTTGAATGAGCGTTTGATTATCGGTTTTGGGTTGAACCCGATGTAATTGTGAACCGATGTGAGATTGAGGTTATGTATATGGTTGAATGAGCGTTGGATTATCGCTTTTGGGTTCAACCCATGTAATTGTGAACCGATGTGAGATTGGTTGATGATATATGGTTTAGTGAGCGTTTGATTACGGTTTTTGGGTTGAACCCCATGTACTTGTGAACCGATGTGAGATTGAGGTTATGTATATGGTTGAATGAGCGTTTGATTATCGGTTTTGGGTTCAACCCCATGTAATTGTGAACCGATGTGAGATTGGTTGATGATATATGGTTGAATGAGCGTTTGATTATCGGTTTTGGGTTGAACCCCATGTAATTGTGAACCGATGTGAGATTGAGGTTATGTATATGGTTGAATGAGCGTTTGATTATCGGTTTTGGGTTGAACCCCATGTAATTGTGAACCGATGTGAGATTGAGGTTATGTATATGGTTGAATGAGCGTTTGATTATCGCTTTTGGGTTCAACCCC